AACTTACAACCCCGAGATCAAGAGTCACAACCTCTACGGACTGAGCCAGCCAGGCGCCCCTCTGAGTGGTAACTCTTAGGAGATTTTTATTTCTTCTTCAGCAACTTCACTGCAAGCATTACAGGAGGCGACTCTTAAAAACCACAAGACATCAAGGAAGCCAACTGCACTTCCCGGTTCCTGCCTCATCCCGGCCAGCATGTTGCCAGATCCAGAACATCTGACCTTCGGTTCTAATCAGAGTTCACAGTGTGATGGCCTCCATGGCCAGATCAAAAGCCCTGGAGACTGGAGCCATCTTTACCCTTACTCAACTCAAGTGCACCCTCTTACAGGAAGCCTTCCCTCTCCCAACTCTTCTGGCTGGCAAAGCGTCCCCTCTGCAGCGCTTTGTCTCACAACAGTACTTGCCATGGCAACTGGAGTTCTAGGCTAACATATTTGTGTCCCCTACTAGACCATAGGCATCTTGCGGGCAGGGGCCGTGTCTTAACGACCTCTGTACTCGGGGTCAGGCCCCAGTAGAGTGCCTGGCCCTTGGCCAGTGGTTCTCAGCCAACTGAACATTCCAGGCATGTTCCAGTGATGTTTGAACGTTGCATGGGCAGCTCTTCAAGCACAGCATGAAACCCTTCAACCTCCCCCCACCCTCCTCACCTCTCCACCCCCAGCCCAGGAGCGGTCCCTCCGAGAATTTCTCTAAGGATGTAAGCTCTGTAACCAGCCCTCTTGGATTCAAATCCTGTTCTACCACCTTCTAGTCATGTGATCTTGGGCAAGTTATTTCACCTCTTTACGTCTGTTTCTTTTTTTATTTTTTTTTAAGATTTTATTTATTTATTTGACACAGAGAGAGACAGCAAGAGAGGGAACACAAGCAGGGGGAGTGGGAGAGGGAGAAGCAGGCTTCCCGCTGAGCAGGGAGCCAAAGGCGGGGCTTGATCCCAGGACCCTGGGATCATGACCCCTGCCGAAGGCAGACGCTTAACGGCTGAGCTACCCAGGCACCCCAACGTCTCTGTTTCTTAACTGAAAAAATAGATATACCATCTCATAGAGTCTTGTGAGAATGAAACGAGCTGATCCATGAGAAGCACTTGAAACGGGCTGATCCATCGCCAGCACTCAGTGAGTGTTGGAATGACCATTCCCCAAATCTTTTCCTGCCCAGAACCTCCCTCCACCCTGCAGCTTCCACTCTTGACTGCATCTCCAGCCCGTTCCCATCCCCACTAGAGGCCCTTCCTCCAGGCCCTCTTTGCCCTGTTCCTCCAGGACTAAGGTTAGCATCAACATAAAAGTGATGCAACTCTCCTAACTTATTGTGATCCTTCCCCGGCTCCCTGACCCCCACCAGCTTACAGGGCAGAGTCTCCAAAGAGAAGGGGGATGAGCTGGTTCCACAGCAGGGCTACGGATGCTGAGTCATTCGACACCCAACTATGCTTCTCTCTTGTCACCCTTGACATTTCAGGTTCCCCGTCTCCCCACCGTGCAGTCCCCTTTGCTCATAATTCAAAAACCTCACCCCACTCCATCTGACCCCTTCTAAAGCCAGCCTCCGCCACTACAGTCTTTACCAAAGATCTTCCTTAACAGTAAGAAGCCTCAGAACACTAGCACCCATGTGCGGAAATAATAATAATAATAATTGATGATCGCTTCTCCACTAAAGAATTACACCACACTCTTTGTCTGGTATACGTGTTAGATCTCCTTCCACACTTTCTAAAGCTGAGAGACTGAAGCATTTACAAAAGCAGAATGGAAGATGAAGGGCTGGGCCTCTCACTTCAGATCCGACACTCTGAACACTGAGCTTCGACAGGGAAGGGCACAGAGGGGCCCCATTACCTCCTGGGGGGAGGAGGTTAGAGGGAGCTGGAACTTTTTTCTCCCACCCATCAGTCCTCAAAGACACTGGGTGCCACCATCACAGAAATGAAAAGGTCACATTTTTACAAGGGAGCTTATGTTTACAGGCACTGTTCTAGCATTTCTCATTTATGACCGGTTTTAAAAAATAAGAGTCATAGCCGCATGATTAGGAGCGCGTTATGCTGCTCTGACCCACGGGAGGTGCTCCCACGGGAGGTGCTCCCCGGGAGGAGTGAGCCGCCACAGCCAGCACCCTAACTTCACCAACAGGTGCTGTCCACGGCAGCGGCGGACAGGCAAGTCCTGGCCACTGAGGAACGTGAAGTTGTAGTCATGGCCACAGGACCCTTACATCTCACCAAGACAACCTCCAAGTCCCAAGTTCAGGGACTTGGACCACCGCCTCTCCAAGGCCCTCTGTGGCTCTTACTTCCGGTAGGCACACGAGCCTACAAAATGGAGGCCTATCCTCCTCCAGGCCATCTTACATAGTCAGGGGTGATCCCCGTCTGACTCCCAGCTTCCTGCCCCCAAGGCTTTTGTCGCTTACCGCTAGGATGGGGGAAAGGCAGAGTAAAGGTGGGAAGCTCCCAAGGAGGACACAAGTGTGAGCGCTACTATATACCAAACACTGTGCAGGAGAGTTAAACAAAGCAAAGCCCCCATGAGTAACCTCTGTCTGGGGGCACCTGAGTCTACGAAGGGCTTCCCAACACCAAAGCAGAGAAGTCAGAGATGGCCGGCCCTACTAAAGGCTCTCCCAGATCCCCAGCAAGCGTAGATGCCACAAACACCTGAGCAGCCAAACTAGGGAGCTCTGGCTAAGAAAGACAAGGCAGGCCACGCCTCCTGGGGGTGCCCTGGGACTGGTGACAACCCTCTCCTCTAGCCCCCACTTGCCTTTTTAAGTCCAGAGGGATCTAAGGAACCTACAGTACCTAGATCCTGGCCTTGGACAATTCTGCCCCAAAACCTCCTCAAGAGGAGGAGTGTTTCCACACTTACACCCCCCACTGCAGCTCCTTCTCCCACCTCACCCCCACTCCCCCAAGAATAAGCTGGGGCTCTTAAAGCACCTGGCTCCTATACCCAGTAGAAACACCAGAATATCCATCCCATACTCTAACCCTGGTATCTGCCTCTAATTCAATAGCACTGTGGCCCCGGCCCAGGGTCCAGAGCCTTCCCACCACACAGACAGCAAAATCAGCCCCTGGAGATGCCCTCCACCCCATACATCCGCGCCCATCCTCTGACTAACTGTAGGGAGCTGGGAGCTGGTCCAGAGGTCCCAGGTCTCTATGGCCACAAGCCCAAAGTTGCGTGAGAAGGTCATGAGAAAAGACCTCTTGGGAGGTCTACTCTTCACACCCTGGGATTCTTTACTGACCCGCTACAAAGGAGGGAACTGCTCTGAATGGCCTATGCGGCACCGGACTGAAGATCAGGGGATCTTAAAAGGGGTTCCAGTTCCAAAGGGTATGGTAACATTCTGAGAGTGCCTACAAAACGTGTCCCTGCACACACGCATGCTTGAGGCAGGAGGAGTTGGAGCTTTCACCAGATTCCCAAAGGGGCCCGTGACCCCAGCCTCTGGCCCCAAGGTCCCCTCCTCGTCATATTATCACTCCTTGGCCATCCTAGTTGACCAAGGTCTCTCTCCTCTTTAAGGATGTGCCCAGGCCTGAGGCACCACTCCTGTTCCCTTGTCGCCTGCTCCTTCCAGCTGCAGAAAGGGGACAGGAGTGTTTCCGACCCAACCCTCCTGCGCACACCTTCAGCCTCCTGGTGACTTGAGCCAGGTTTCTCTCTCCATTCCAGAGAGGCCACCCTCCATTCAAAATAGAGGTCCCAACGACATCGACCCTCAACAAGAGAGAGGGCCCAGTTTCACACTTGATCCCACAAGGGGGCCAAATCTCACGGTAAGATGACTTCCTCCACGAGAGAAGTCCGGTGTCCCTCTCCTCCTTTCAGGCATACATGGCTACCCCCACCCAGGCTGTAAAGATAAGCATGCTTGCCAAAGAAAAGGGATGAGAGGCCCTGAACATCTCCCTGAGTCCTTTCTCCTGGACCAGGTGGCTCAGGAGGTGCAGGATAACCAACAGGGTTATTCCCCACGCTCAGTGGCACTGCGGCCCCCGGGGCCAGGTGGGGAGCGAGATGGTCTCCTTGCATCCGGTACCACCTCTAGGACATCTTATTTCTAAACTCCCAGTCATTCCCCTCACCCTCCACTCTCACCAAAACCAAAATAATAAAAATGAAAATAATGAAATAAATAATAAAGGAACATCCAAAACCTCCTTCCCCCTAAAACAAATTCCTCTCCGGGAATTTATTTTCAGCATAAATTTCCTGCAGCCCAAACTTCTTTTAAGTGGAAAAGAAACGGCCAAGCCAGTGCTGGGTGCAAGGCAACAATGCAAGGAGAAACTGAAGTGGAAAGAATGAATAAACGCCAACACCCACCCCCTGGAGCTTGGAGCCCGGGGCACACCGAGCCGGAGGGGCGGGGGAGCAGGGGCGGGGACAGCGCGTTCTGAACTTTCCCTAGCGAGCCACCGGGAGATGCAGCTCCCAGGGGACCGGGTGGGACCAGAAAGGGCTGAGCCGACCTGTGACATCGGCGGGGACAGGAAGCCAGCCTCCCCTCCTCCTAGAAGGAGCTCTGCCCCCCGGCAGGCGCCCCCCCACCAGCCAGCGCCCCCAGGCCCGGGCAGCGCGGCGAGGGGCGCCCACACAAAAGGGGGAGCGGCCGCGGCGGGGGCTCAGCGCGGCGCCGGCCCGAGGAGGCCTCGCTGCCCTTCCCCACGCCGCCCGCCCGGCCGCGACCACCCCGGAGCCCCGCGCCCCGCGCCCCGCCCCGGGGCCCGCCCGGCCCGCGCGCCCACGGCCTGGGCGAGCGGAGGGGGCGAGGGCCGGGAGCCGGCCGCCCGTGCGCCCGGGGCGGCGCGGGCGCCGGGGGAGGCGCGGAGGCAGCGCCGGGAATCAAACTCGCGCCCGCCCGGCCCGGCCCGGCCCTCCCGGCGGCGCGGCGGCGATCGGCGCCCGAGAAGGTGGGGCCGCCGGGCCGGGCCGGAGGCGGCTCGCGCGGGGGAGCGAAGGGGGGGTCTTACCGAGCAGCCGCCAGGCGCGTCGGCTCCCCGCGGGCCGGCGGGGTCGGCGGGGCCGGCGGGGCCGGCGGGCGGGGGAGGGGCCGCGATCCCGCGCCCGCGGCGGTGGCGGCGGTGGCGGCGGCGGGCCCGGCGCGGCGGCGCGGCTGGGGCGCGGGAGGCGGAGAATGCGAGGCGAGGCCAGCTTCCTAGCGGCGGGCGGCGAGAAATGCAGCTGTCCCTGCGCGGCCGCCGGCGGGGCCACAAGTGGGGCCGCGCGGGGAGGAGCGGGGCGCGGGCGGGGCGCGGGCCGGGCCGCGGCGCCCCCAGACCCGCTCGGAGGACCGATCCCCTCCGAGGGAGGAGGGGAGCAGCAATGGCGTGGAGGCAGCGGGGCAATCGCGGGGCCGGGGGGCGCCGGGGCAAGGTTAGCAAGGTCCCCCGCCCCCGGTGTCCCCTCTCCGCACCAGCCGCCCTGAGTCCCCGCTGGCGGGCCGGAGGGCGTGAGCGACGAGCCTCGGTCTCCCCCCGCAGAGCGGGTTGCGGGGCGCCCTGCCCCTCCCTCCCTCCCTGCTTGGGGACCGGCGCCGGGAAGGCTCACCCGGAGATGCGGGGGCGGGGAGGGGGCGGAGGGGGGCGGGGACCCGAGCCCTCGACTAGCAGGGGAACCTGAGAGCCGGGCTGCCGGGGCGGGTGCGGAGCGTGGACGCACATCTGGGCCCGGAACGGCTGAGGTGTGGGGGAGGGGCGGCCCCTGGGAGTCAGGGCTCGGGAAAGGAAACCCAGTGCTGAGGTCAGAGGAGATGGTGAGGAGGGGGTCAGGAGATCGAAGCTGTTACCCATCACATCATCAGATCCGTTCTGCCGTCTCCCCAGCTCCTCCCGGCATCCCCGGTCACTTCAGGGGCTCCTGAGCCCCGAGATTTTCCACAGAAGAACTTGTTCAATAAATGGGAAATCAATTTTGTTCTTTTTCCACGTGGTTTGGCTTCAAACTCCAATCTGAGGGTGGGTAGGGTGGGGCGGGGGGCGACAGCCCAGCAGCCTGCATTGAAGAGGAGCTATCTAGGAGCTCTGAAGACGGTGCAGTTCCGGGTCTGCATCCTCCTCGGAGACAAGCGGCCTTAGAGACCCACTTCCCATCTGGGCCCAGACTCCAGGGAATAGCCCCCCTCTCCTCTTCTTCTGAGGGTTTGCAATCCCCTAGCTCTGCAGAGACAGATCAACCTGCTCAGCCACAGAGACATCTGATGGTAAAAACCACAAACCAAAGTGCCCCAGCCACCATGTGTTTCCATCATTTGCATGTCAAGGGAAAGTTTCTTTAGCGAGTTGGGAACCTGGGAGGGGGAGAAACCTCAGCACCACCCTCCTTGGGGACATCAGACACCGGGTTAGCCTGATGAGCGCAGCTCCAGAACTGGGCTCCCAGACCCTCTGAGGATCTCCACTCTCTGCCCACACCCTCTCCTCATGCTCCTTCTCTTGGTGATACATTTGATTTCAGGGGGGCCCTTGAAACCCCAGAGGTAGTCCCCTAGACCCCTAGACCCCAGGTTAAAGATCCTTAATCTAGACGGACTGACTCACGCCTCCATGCTGACTCCTGGCTCCAGTCCTGAAGTTGTAACGGGGGGCTTGGGGTTGATCCTCTTTGCCAGTCTTCTAGATCGTGTATGTCATCGCAGGTGTTACCTTACTCCTATCCACAGTGCAGTTGGTCTACCACTTTTCTGCTTACTTGCAAGATCCTTCTGCAGTTCCTCCCTGTCACCTTGGCATTTCAGAGCTGGGAAAAATGCATGGGCAGACTTGGAGATACCCCTGTTTGCATTCCCCTCTGAGTGTTCATAAAATCCTTTAATGTGTTATTAATAGAGTCATCAAATGAAACCAGTCACTCAAATGGATGCTCTTCCTTGAAGGACACTTCTTGGGCAGTGCTAACCTACTCTTCTGTTCAGGGCTGTCTTCCTGGAAGCTTTTCCTCAGTCCCCTCCCCTGCCTCTCATAGCCCCCTGGGTAACCTCCCTCACTCCCGCCACTGCCTCTGAGCTGCAAGTTCCCCGGGTTCCCAGGCCAGGCCTGCAGGTCCCCTGGACATCTCACAAGTAAGGAGCCTGGAATCCAACTCAGAGCCCTTCCCTCCCCAGGCCTGCCCCTCCTCCTCTGGCTTGGCAGCTGGGAACCTCAGTCCTCAGTTTCCCTTGCCCTACGTTCTATTGATTATCGAGTCCTGACCATTCTTCCTCCACCCCCACCCCCAGCTTCTGCCCTGGGTCAGGCCCCTATTGTCTAAGTTCATCTCAGAGGATGAGATGTCCCTGCCATTTCAAGCCCAACCCTCCTGCTCCAGGAGATTCCATCAGTTCTTTCTTTCTCCCCTTCCCTCTGCTTCATACCTACAAACCTGAAGGATGCCCGCTTTTTAAGAAGCCCTTAACCAGCCGCGGCTCCGCCACACCCTGGTTCTCTCTTGCCCATTCCTCAATAGACTTCCTCTAAACAGAAACCAGACATACTCTGTCTGCTTCCTCAGTGCCCCCTGGATCCTGCAGTCTGGCCTCTTTCCCCAGCATCCTGGGGACAGCTCTCAACAGGGGGCACCAGCCAGCACCCAGTCCTTTGCACCCAGGGCCTCCTCCCTGCCCCCCTCTGCCCCCCTGCAGCCCTGCATGCCCTTGAAATGACTTGGTACGCTCCTGGTTTTCCTACCAGTTCTTTCCTTTCTATCGCTCGGCCTGCCCCAAGAGCTTCTCCGGGGCCCAATCCTCTTCAGTTTCCCTTAAATCACACAGTTCCCAGAATGTTCTCCCAGTGGGGCTAGAGTGGAGCGGGTACCAGGCCCTGGCTGCTCCACTTGCCCGTGGCATGTCTTCGGGCCAGTTACTGAACTTTCTCTGCGCCTCCGTTTCCTCCCCTGTGTCTGGAGCTCACAACAGTGCCTCCCTCAAAAGATTGTGGTGAGAATGAAACCAGTCCACACACGTGGAGTGCCCAGAACACTGCCTGGCACATGGAATGGTCAATGGCTAGCGTCATCGTTCCTGCTGAAGGGATCTGCTGTCCGCCGTCTGTGGAGCGACCCGTCCTGGTACGGGTCCCCCTCCCTCTCCTGAGCCCCTGACTGGAATGCGTGGCAGCCCCTGGACAGGCTGGCCCCGAGCCACCTCACCTCCAGCACGGCAAGCCTGGAACCCATGACCACCACGTCCCCCTTTGCCAGAATGCTCTGTGGGAGGTGTCAGAGGGCACCTCCCATACACCTGAGCTACCAACCTCACAGGCTGCCTTCCTCCTCTCCCACTTTAAACCCCTGAGTAAATTCAGGGCCTTCTACTTCCTGAATTTCTGCCCCCCTCTCCATTCCCACCCTTGTTCTGGCCACCGGGCTCCTCCTGCCTTTCACTCCATCCTCCCCCGTGCTCGCACTTACCTGCTGAAGCAGAGACTGCTGATGTCTCTGTCTTGTTGAAAGGATACGGATGACTCGCCATGGCTTGGCGAATCAAATCTAAACTCCTTCAAGAGGCCCTTCCCAGTCGCCCCTTAACCTGTGTTCCGCTCCCTCCCCCCGAGCTAGACCAGTCAAGACCGCTTGCTGTTCCCACAGAGCAAATGGGAAGGTGAGGAAAGCTTCTGGCCAAGTCTGTGGCTATATTAAGCACAGATAAATGGGAGCGTATCTGCCATGTGTCGCCTCCCGTGAGGCTGAGGTGGCTGGAGAGCTGTGGGGCTCAAGCTTGGAGAGAGCGGGTTCCAGCGGGACCACAGGCAAAACGGGACGTTTCCCTTCTGGGACCCCTGCAGGGTCACACAAATGCTGGGGCACGCCTCGAGGAAACAACCACATTGTCTCAGCCACCAAGAGACCCTCTCCTTTTAGAATCACCAAAAGCAGCTTAATCAGGCCGGAGGTGGAAAAGAAAGTGGTGTAAACGTCCACATAATTTGGGTAATCCTATCCTTTTCTCCATCTTCACGGATCTGACCAAGAAACTCAAGGGACACTAATAAACTATTGGTGGTAACATGTGGGAGTTTTGAAAGAACACATGGGTGAAACGTGGGAACAGTGGAAACATTTTTTACTTAAAAAAAAGCGCGTAAACAACCCCCTCCCGGGATGGTAACTAGATGGATGCCTGTGGGATTGTCAGTCGACTTCCATCTGAGAGAAGGACCCCCGGGGCCCCTCAGCCCTTTCCCAGAGAGCCAGCACTAATGTCATTCTTGTCGCACTTTCTGTGAACCCTCCTTCCCTTGCATAGCGAACTGCTCCCTGGGGGTCCCTCTGCCCCCTCCCCACCTACATATAGCACGGGGTCATGGTATTATAGTTACTTTTCACATGAGCTCCTGGGGGACAAGGGGTGTCTTCTGTCTCAGTGACTTCACCTCCCAATCTGGCAGGCCCCGTGAGCTGAGTACAGATCTTCCTCAACTTACAGTGGAGTTCCATCCTGACAAATGCATCATAAATTGAAATTATCGTAGGTCAAAAACACACTGAATACATCTAACCTACTGAGCATCATGGCTTAGCCTAGGCTGCCTTAACTGTGCTCAGAACACTGACATTAGCCTCCAGTTGGGCAAAATCATCTTCCACAAAGCCCGTTTTATAATCAAGTGTTGACTATGTCATGTAATTTATTGACTACTGTGCTGAAAGTGAAAAACGGAATGGTTGTGTGGGTCCAGAATGGTGATCAGTATATCGGTTGTGACCCTTCTGATCTCAGGGCTGGCTGGGAGCTGCATCCTGCTGCCTGGCATCACAGGAGAGTGTGTACCGCATATCGCTAGCCCCGGGGGGGGGGGGGGGGGGGGGAGATCCAAATTTACAATTCAAATTACAGTTTCTACTGAATGCATATGGTCTTCACACCATCGTAAAGTCAAAAAAATCACAAGCTGGACCATCAAAAGTCAGGGACTGTCTGTAACTATTTGCCGAAGGACAGACCTCTGACAGGTGGGTGAGAGGCATCTGGCTTGCCCTTATAAAACCACCTGTCTTCCCTTCACTGGTACCAGTTTGTAAGGCTCCAGGGGTCCTGCCCTCCTATAAGGCCGCTGCGAGAGTCCTCTACAAGGCGGTGGGGTGGAAATCAGGCACACATAAATGGAATTTCAGGTAAGCATTAGGAT